CCTCCCAGTTTGGAGTCGGGATCTGGGTCCCGGGCCCCGGGGCCTTGCCGCCCGGCCCCCAGTCTGGCTCCGCCCCCCAGACCCTCACCTGCGCTGTCGGACCTGCCGAGCTCCTCCCTCAGACCCTCCCACGCCGCTGCTACCGCGGACCCTCACTTGAGCGCCCACAGGTCCTCGTCGGAGCCTGCCTCCGTCTCCCCAGACCTCCCCCTGCTCCCTGGGACCCCAGCCCAGCCCTGCCCAAGGCGCTGCCTCTCACCCACTCCTCACTCCCCACCCGCCACCCCCCTTCTCCCTCCAGGCGCCTCCCAGACTCTGTTCTCCTCTCTGCCTGCCTCTCTCTTTAGCCCCAATCCTCCGTCTCTCCCCACACCGCGCCCCAGCTTCCCACTCCAGCCTGGTGCTCCAGGAGCCTGCTGGCTGGCCCCTTCTGCATCTTCCCCTACCTGCCGGGATGCAGCCTGGGCGGGAAACCTGCGGGAGCGGTCTCCTCCTCTAACCCAACCCAGTCCTGAGAGGCTGCCTTAGCCCTGTGCACCTCACTTTCCTATGCTGTAAGATGAGGACACTTATAGCTACCAACCCCAGAAGGCCATGAGGACCAGCTGGGGTGACGGGGTAGAAGGACTTGGTGACTCAGAGGAATTAGCGCATCGCTATTCTCAAAATAGGTGGGAAACAAACGAATGTGGAAGGGGGAGTACCTTTAAGTATTTTCTCCTTAATGTAATTATGACTCGTGAATGATGAGTTATCTGCTACTTCTCTCTCTGCTCCTTGGACATGGAGACAATATGGTAGATACTCTAGGGTGGTTTCCTCAGCACCCTCTGGTCCACCTTCCCATGTCTAGACCCCTTTCAGTCAGTGGTGATGTCTGGAAGTTCAGCAGCCCCCTTGCCACCATGAAGATAAACCTCCTTATGAGTGACAATAGCAGGAAGAGAGGGGCTGAGTCTCTGATAACATCATTGAACAGCTGCTCCCCTTTGGATTACCTGCCCTCAGACTTCTTGTCGAAAAATAAAGATAAGCCTTTCCCTGTCTACGCCATCATCTTACGGAAGCTGCGCTTAGAACTGAGTGCACTGGTCCTATCCAACAGTGTGCTGTTGACTTTCAGGTCAGTACACGATACGCAGTAGCTGTGTCTTGGAGATTTGTTGATTTAATAAGTGAATTCTGCCCAAGTCTCTTCTGACAAGCTCAGAGCTTGTTTTATGTGGCAAAATCATAAGGAATCAACTTGGGGCTTCCGACATCTAGCCAGGATATCGGTACAACTAGTAAGAGTGCCGGACTGGAGAGAAATGGCCTCTATTAAGTCTCATGAGGTCACGATACTCAGCTGGCCAATTGGACTTCACAGATGTGACCTGGCATAACTGTTTCCTCGCAAAGCCTCCATCTGCCCAGTTCCTAGAGGAACTGCTGCCATACTACATATCCTTTCTGATGGAATTAATTGAGCGTGAAAAGGGACCAGTAGCCACTGGTCTCATGTCCCCACTACATGCCTGCAGGAGGCCAGGAGATAAAGGCGAGCCTCTGGGAGAGCCTCCTCCCAAATCTGGAAAATAAACCAGCACACCTGGGTTCTGCCACCGCTAACCTGCTGAGCCTCCATTTCCTTGTCTGCAAAAGGGCAAACGCTCTTCTAGAAGTTACTGCAGTGACTGCCCACCTTCTGAAGTTGCCAGGTACATCAATTATTCCCCTTAGAAATCTTCACACCAATCCAATGAGAAAAGTATGTTTTGCGCCCCACCCCATTCTTAAAATTGGTACGAGTGGTCTCCCCCCCCAAAACATACACAATGACGTACACTGTTTGGTGGGTTTGGACATATGCATACATTTGTGTGCCCATCATCGCAGCCAAGATAATACACACATTCACCACTTCCCAAGCTTCCCCACTCTCTCTGTTGTCACTTTGGTTTGGTTTTGTGATAAGCACATTTAACCTGAGCTGTCCCCTCGGAATCCATTTTGAAGTGCACGGGGCAATATTGTTCATGTAGACATGGTGTTGTCTAGCAGATAGATCTCTTGAACTTTCTCATCCAGCAGAGCTGACTTTCTACCTATGAGCACAGTTCCTCATCAGACTCTCCCCCAACCTCTGGAACTCCTCACACAAGAGGAACCATGCAGTATTTGTCCTTCTGTTACTGCCTTGTTTCACTTGGTTTAATGTCCTCCAAGCCCATCATGTTGTTTTAAGTTAGTAGGACTTGCTCTTTTTTAAGACTGAGTAATATTCCCTAATCTGTGTATTTACTACATTTGCCCATTCAGCTGTCAGTGGGCGCCTGGGTTGTCCCCCTAGCTTGCCCTTCGTGAATAACACAGCAATATAGAAAGTATGCCGAATACGCCTGTGATGTTTCAGATGGAACACAAAGGCCCAGAGAAGTTGAGGAAGTGAAGCAACAACACACAGCTATCACTAGAAGAGCCAGCATTCAAATGGGCTTATCTAACTCCAGAGAGAGCTTTGAACACGGGGTTGGTTTCATTCGGGGAGCAAGAGCAGGACTAACACTTAAGGATACTTGGCCCATGTTTAGTACCTGGAATTGGCTAGAAATGACTTCATATGGGAGAATCAGTGACGCTTCACTTCCAGTACCACCTCCATCGAGCTCCGCCTGCATGACCCTCCGTGAAATTTTTACTTCTCTGAGCTTCAATTTTCTTCTCTGGAAAGATGTGTGGAAAGCTGCCAAACTCACAGTTATCTTCACATGACATGAGGCGATGCCTGGTCTGTTTGGACTGCTGTCACGGAGCATCACAGTCTCAGGGATTATAAATAGCAGAGCCTGATTTCTGGGGTTCTAGATGCTAGGGAGGCCAACACAGGAGCGCCAGCAGAGTCTGTGTCTGGTGAGGACCTGCTTCCTGACTCCCGGGGACTTGCTGCTACGTCTTCACACGCCACCATCTCTTTATAAAGGACACTGAGTCCACTTTCACTGCTCTTAATCGTGATTTAATCAGCTCAAAGTCCCACCTCCAAATGCCACCCCATTGAGAGTTAGGAGGAATAGGTGGGGTGGGGAGGACATAAACATTCAATCCATAGCAGACAGAGGTTCTGTGCCCAGAACCTGCACACAGTAGGTGCTCAATACATGCTCAGTAGGGGTTAGCAGCCCCTCCCCCATGCAGCCTGCTTCTCACTGTGATAGGGTTGCAGGCAGAAGACAGATGTCTTCTCCATTTTCCAGGTCACTAGTCTCAGAGGGTCAGGTGTTGGCCTCAAACTGCTCGTATGCTGCCTGCATACACCCCCAGCCATGCCACTGGGAAATCAGCTTCCCGGGGCAGATTGCTTTGCACCCCACACTTTCTCTGGGGGCCCCAGCAAGTGCCTGAGCCTGGAGAACATCCCTCTAACAATCAATCTGCTGCAGTTACAACAGCTGCCTGGCCCAGCCGCCTGCTGGCTTGGCCTCCCCACCCCTGGCCAGGAACACTGCTGGGGTGGGGCGGGGGAGGCGGGAGGGCTTTGTCAGGACAGGTGCTGGTGAGGATGTGGGGTAGTGATCCCTACGACCTTGATGGTGGGAGAGTAGCGTGTGATGAACAGTTCCTTAAAATGTGAGCCAGAAGTAACCACGCGACCCGCAATTTCACCCCAAAAGAAGAGAAGCACACGACCACCGAAGACTGGTTCTCAAAGGTTCCTAGCTGCGCTACTCACAATAGCCAAGATTAGAGAAATGAGCCCACCCGCTGGAGAATGTGCAGACTGTGCAGACGGAAGGCAGCCCATCCCCGCCCAGATGCCACGGTAGCTGAGCAGCCCATCCCCGCCCAGATGCCACGGTAGCTCAGCTACGGGAGGAGCCCAGCGCCGGGGGCCTTGGAAACAAGCCCCAGCTACACCCCCCGCTTATACCCTCGGTCCAGAGAAGGCGGGAGCCAGGACAAGGCTGCTAGCAGCTGGGAGGGCGCCTGCTTAGGATTCGCCAGAGAAGCAGACCCCATCGGAGAGGTGCGTACAGTTATTACTGTTTGTTTCTCCATACAGAGGCTGGGAAGCGTCAGGATCGCCAGCTGCCAGCCGGAGCGTCCGAAGTCCCGAGAACCAGCAGATCCTACGGTGTGAATCCCAGTCCAGTTCGCCTCAGGAGGAGACGAGGTGGAATGCGATGTTGGGGACCACCGCCCTTCTCGAACTTCTGCTCTAGGGGGCTGCGCAGGCTGGGCTCGGAGCTCTCCTGTCCCGGAGCGCAGCCGGGGCCCCTGAGCCCACCTGCAGATGCCAGCGGAAGCACCCCTCACGCACCCAGAAGGAGGTTCCCCTGGCGCCCCCCAGGGCCTGCGGGCTGACACCAGCAGTGGCCACAGAGGGAAGGAGGAATGACTGTAAGTGGACACGAGGCTGCCTCTGAGAGTGAAACAAATGTTCTAAATTCAATTGGGGGATGTTGCACAGCCTGTAGGTAAGCTAAAAGCCACCGCGTTTGTGGACACGTGCGAACTTCCTACTCCGATGTGTGGCTCACCGGGCCACGCAGAGAGGTGCAGGGGACACCCCGATTCCCCTCACAAGACCCGCTTACTCTGTGTGTCGGACGCCGCGCAGCTTCATCACCCTGAACACACATTCCCGGGGCCACCCACGGTCAGCGGAGGGCCGTGGGGCAGCCCGCCCTGCCTGGGGCACCCCTCAGGGGCAAAGCCTCTGAAGCCTCGGTTTCTCCATCTGCAGAGGGTGAAAGGGCAGAACTGGCCCGGAGATCGTGAGCATGTGACCTGCAGCCACACACGCAAGCTCGGAGCAGAGCCTGGTAACCCCGAGAAGCAGCCCGAAACTAGTCAGCGTGGGCTGTTCGTGCAGGTCCCTC